TGCCATAGTGGTTTGCTGCACCCATCAATCTGACATCCACATTAGATATTTCTCCTCTAGCTACCCACGCCTGGCAGACCTTAGTGTGTGACATTCCCTTCCCTGTGTCCATGTGTTCTCATTCTTCAGCTCCCACTTATGAGTGAGAACATGCGTTATTTGCTTTTCTGTTCCTATGTCAGTTTGCTGAGAATGAAGGTTTCCAGCTTCATCCATGTCCCTTGCAAAGGACATGAACTCATTCTTTTTTATGGCTGCTTAGTATTCCATGGCATATATGTGCCACATTTTCTTTATCCAGTCAATCATTAATGGGCATTTGGGTGGGTTCCAAGTCTTTTTTATTGTGAATAGTGCCACAATAAACATACATGTACATGTGTCTTTATAGTAGAATGATTTATCATCGTTTGGGTATATACCCAGTAATGGGATTGCTGGGTCAAATGGTATTTCTAGTTCTAGATCATTGAGGAATTGCCACACTATCTTCCACAATGGTTGAACTAATTTACACTCCCACCAACAGTGTAAAAGTGTTCTTATTTCTCCACATCCTCTCCAGCATCTGTTGTTTCCTGACTTTTTAATGATTGCCCATTCTAACTGGCGTGAGATGGTATCTCAATGTGGTTTTGATTTGCATTTCTCTAATGATCGGTTTTCATATGTTTGTTGGCTGCATAAATGTCTTCTTTTGAGAAATGTCTGTTCATATCCTTTGCCCACTGCTTGATGGGATTGTTTTTTACTTGTAAATTTAAGTTCTTTGTAGATTCTGGATATTAGCCCTTTGTCAGATGGATAAATTGCAAAACTTTTCTCCCATTCTGTAGGTTGCCTATTCATTCTGATCATAGTTTCTTTTGCTATGCAGGAGCTCTTTAGTTTAATTAGATCCCATTTGTCTATTTTGACTTTGGTTGCCATTGGTTTTGGTGTTTTAGTCATGAAGTCTTTGACAATGCCTATGTCCTGAATGGCATTCTATGTCAATAAGTATACAGAACTTAAAAGTTATTACTGACTAGAGGAACTGCTCTTTGCATAACTTTTGTATGTTGATACCTTTTAAATAGCAAACATTAGTAAACAGTAAACACTGTGCAAATGAACACATCAGTAGTGGTGGAAATAATAATTTAAAAGATACAAATCTGGGGCCGGGCGCGGTGGCTCAAGCCTATAATCCCAGCACTTTGGGAGGCCGAGGCCGGTGGATCACGAGGTCAAGAGATCGAGACCATCCTGGTCAACATGGTGAAACCCCGTCTCTACTAAAAATACAAAAAATTAGCTGGGCATGGTGGCGCGTGCCTGTAA